AGATACCCGGGAAAGCTTGGGCTGCGCTGGTGACCGTCACAGTCAGTGGGCAGGCCTGGGTGGCCCCAGGAAGCCGAGGTGCAGTGAGGAGGAAGTCGGGAGGGATCTCCCTGGAGCTCAGCCTTCCAGGTCCAGCCCCTGTGTAACCTCACCTGCCTTCAACTGTGGCCAGTGCAGCACCTGAGCAAGGCATCACTGTCACCTGGAGTGGCACACCCTACTTTTTCAAAGGCAGGGGTACAACCCATAGCTTCAGTGCTGACCCCACAAAGCAGCCTGCGCATGGCCAGCTCACATTCACCAACGTCCTAACACCCATCTCCCAGGCTCATCTCCAGAGGAGCCCACGGCGGAGAATCTGCTGTCACCAGCACTTTGATCTCGAGCCGCCACGACAGGAGGGGAGCCCTTCCTTTTGTTCTCTGCTCTCTGTTCTTTTGTTCCGTTTGGTTTTTCCTTTGAGAGTAAGTGACTGTATCAGAATAAATCCAGTCTTTTCTGGAGGCCCCAGGATCTCTTTCAGACCAAGCAGACACCCGTGTCGTTGTTTTGGGGGGTGACTGACAATCAGGCTCAGCTACATAATTAGTGGGTCCCAGGGCAGATGGAAAGTGGGGCTCCTCGTTCAAAACCTATCAAGAATAACAGGACAGTGAGCCAGGGCACTGGACCCAGCCGCTCCCCGAGGCCCCCACACCCACAAGGCTGTGCCCGTGTCTGATCACCAGACAGGAGGACGGTGGGCATGGGAAGCTGCCAGGGCACCATCCTGCCCACTGCGGTCTCTGGAGGCCCATGGTTCTCCTGATTCCCAAGGTCTTGGCTTTGCTGACTCTGACAAATATCAGAACCCTAAACCAGGGGCCCAGCGTAGGCTGAGCCATCACAGCCCAAACCGATGGCCAGAAACGCCTCCAACCACCCCTGCATTTTGATTCAATCAAATGCAGAGTCTTGGGCTGAACGCTTCCTCCCCCGCTGGCCTTCTTTAATTTTGCACACGGGTATTTTAATGAAAATACAGTCCTCCCATCTGGGCTTCAGCTTCCCTCCACCAGTCAAAAGGTTTGCCAAGCACCTGGTTCATAAGGAGGCTTTACACTGACAGCAGCCTGGGGTCCTCGGCCAAAGAGACGAGCTCCATCCAGGAGGAACTCATGGGAACGGGCCTTCCTGTCTCACCGCTTCAGGCCATGATGAGGGCCAGCCAGTGCCGCTCCCCAAGTTGGAGCCAAGTGCAGACCATGCTTACGCTCTGATGGACACACTTTGAAGCTACCTTTGAAAGCACATCTGGATCCGGATTGGCCTCCCAGCTGGGCTCTGTGCTCAGTCACACGACAACTCCACTGCGCATGCGACATCTGAACTGCACTATCAGAGAGATCTCAACCGTGGCCCCGCTCATGCGCACCCTGGACGGCGGCATGTCATTCCCAAGGGTAGCTTTCTGGAAATAGCCTTTTAAGTCCAGTGGGGAACACCAAGGGCACGAGAAATAAGGTGCGTCTCTGGCCTCAGACACCCTGGGTTCTTGCAGGCATTTAGCGAGGGCCTAGACTCCTAGGGAACGTAGGAAGAAAGTTCAAGATCTGTGCTGGGCCCAGCAGTGGGAACTTGATCACAACAAGTCTACACATCCCAGGGGCGACTTTGAAGATAACAGCATTGGGATCAGTGATGCATTCTAATGTGCTCAATCTCCTTGCTGCGTAATAATATCTCCTGTGCATCCCATGATAATGAAGATGGGCTTTGGCCTGCAGGCTGCTGCCTTTTTAAAAAACCTCCTACTGAGAAGCTATAGCTTTCAAATAAGCCACCAGCACAATGGAACTGGAGCAAGAGGACTGGTCTGAGCACATGCACCAGGGGACAGTCCCATGAAGCTCAGACGGGCACATGCAGCGGCCTTCCAAGGAGCCACTTGCTACCAACACTGACGCCATTTCAAGGAGCTGGTGGCTTTCTGTCACAGGCTGTGTTGGCAGGAGAAGTTAAAGCTCTAGAAAAAAAGAAAAAAAAGAGAAGAAAACTAGAACAAAACTTAGACTAGGAGCCTTGTTTCTTTTTAGAGCAAGTGATCCTCTCAACAAATGTGGTGATTTCCAAAGTCCCAGGAGCCTCTGTGTCAGGTCTTGCTTCTCGAGACCAGTGCTGGCACCTTACAAAGCCCAGGGCAGCCATGTCTAGCTCTGACACCGTCCCTCAGGGCTTGGGCATCGGGCAGGTGTGGGCGGACTACTGACCATGGCCAAGGCCCACGCTCCAGCCTGCGTTGCAAGCTAGCCTGAAGGCAGTGTGAAGAGCACGGAACCAAGGCCTGAGTGACCCTCCCTGTCAGGAGATGACATTTGACGTGAGCCACCTTTTCCTGTGACCCCACCCACCTCATCGACACAAAAGCAATACAGGTCACAGGGGACCCTACACCCCCCAGACAGTTCTGGAGAGAGGGCCACAGGCAGGGTCAGCACCCCCTTGCACAGCTGCCAGGTGGCCTTGCGGAGAGGGCCAGACTGTGAGTACAGGCAGGGCCCAGGCCAGTGTACTAGTCCACATGACTGGGACAGAAATGAATCACTCAAGTAAAAAGGAATTAGTAGCCAGCAACTGGCTGTGGGCTGCCCCCCATCCCATCTCACAGTCTCACGTGTGCCCTCCCAGCTTCCCATCCAGGCTACTCTAAGCCAGTTCTGGGTAGAGAAGGAAGGCCTGAGAAGCTCACGGTCAGGGGTAGCCTGAGCAGAGCCCCAAGGGGTCACAGCACCCACTGACCCAAGGGGGCTCCATAGAATGCTCCAGGGGCCGCTTCTGAAGGACACGTTCCTTCCCATCACACACGGTCAACGGCATCTGGCAGACAACGGGGAGGCATCTCAGGAAAGGGATCCCTTTCCCAGTTGGCACAAAGGTGCTCATGGGACTTTGGCCACTGAGGACGAGGCAGCGTCTCCCCATAATAGCAGAGAAGCAGCACAGCACCTCAGACAGGGTGGGGCTCGCAGGGGGTGGGGGACACAGTCGTCTCCACGTGAGCCAGGGCAGAGACGTTCCTTAGGAAATCAGTTCAGCCCACAGTAGATGGATCCAAAGCAAAGCTCCAGGCAACTCGCAGGAGAGGAGGTTCACACCCTCACACATAAGACAGAAAGCAGTGTCCACCACGGTCACAGGGACTGAGACCCATCGTCTTCCAACTCCGCCATCCTCAGCATGTGACCTTGTTCAAGTCCTGTGTCCCACCATCACAACCACATTCCTCGCAGAGGGGAGGAGGGAGGCTAAGGGGACCCATCACCCTGCTAAGCCACATCTCCAGAACCCCACCCACCTCCCCTCACCCCCACCCTCACCATGGCGCCAGCTGCAAGGGCAACTGGGAATGAAGTGGCACCAGTCCCATGGGCCCTCTTGCAGCCCTGGCGCCCGCCCAACGTGTCCCTCCCAGTCCCCTCCAGCCTAAACCTCATCTCCCCGTCCTTGATGCCCAGACTGGCCACAGCCAAATGAGGAGGAGCAGATCTGTAGGCAAAGCACAGCTGGGGACCAGGTCTCCTTTTTTCCATTAGCCAAGCAAAATTTGGGCCTGGGCAATTTAGATGAGACAGAATCAACCAAAAGTAAAACTAAGAAGAGATATTTTACTAATCCAAATGCTTCCATGTGAGCTTAGTTCTTGAAGCAATTACATGCACTCTGCAGGCAGGACCTCAGAGTCTGCTAGAGGGATGCAGGGCTGCCCAGGGTCACACTGGTAGGGTTGGCAGTGAGACCCCCGGGACATCTGGACGTCACAGCCTGTGCCTCATAGTTAAAGTCAAAACTCCATTGCAATAATTAATGAGAACTTATTCCTTCTCCCACGGTGGTATGACCATGGCCATAGCGTCCCAGCACATGGAGCCCCCCGCTGGCACCATCAGAACCCCTGTTGAAGATTTAACTTCTCTGTAGAAAAGTCAGGGCCCACAAGGCCAGTTTCCCTCTCCCTCCTGAGGTCAATTGGTATCTCAATGTCTTGCTGTCAATTTGGCGGCTTAAACGTGAAGGGAATGTTTCCCTGAAGTCCGGGTTGGTTCCCACCTCCGGAGCTACTCGGGGAAAACACTGCCTCCCCCAGGGTTTCCACACAGCCCGGGCTTGGCTTTGAACTTCCAGTACCCCCTTTCCTTCTGTAGCCGCCCCCCGCCTCCTTAGCCTGCAGGTGGTAGACCTGGGGAAGGACAGGTTGACAAAGTCCGGCTCCTCCCCAAGGTCCACAGCCAGCAGCCCCTGCCCTCTGGAGTCTGAGTCCTTGTCCTTCCCACCCCACAAAACTGAAGTGACGATGGATTCAACACTCTTGAACTGCGAGCCCCTGCGTGCCAAACCTGCATCCTGAAACCCTCTGTCCACGTGCTCCCTGGGGACTCAGCGTGTCAGGGGCAAGAGCCCTCGTCCTTTCCAGGGCCACAGGGCCCATGGCAGGGCCCTCCTTCCCACCTGCTCAACTCTGGGGCTTTCAACCCACTCGTGGTCTCCTTCCTGTGTCCCCACCTGCCCTCCTGGTGTCCTGCTCCTTGTGGTCAGCCCCTGCCCTGCCCAGGTGCCTCTCGGTGGTGGCGCAGGCCGGGCCCTCCCCCTCCAAGCTCTCACCCCGGTCCTGCCCACCAGGTGCACCCAGGCTCCTGGAGCCACCCGCCTCCCCTTCTCCAGTGGCAAAGGCATCTGTCTCACAGTGGCCTCTCCCAGAGAAACTGGGGAGGACGGGGCTCAGGGGCGAGGCTGGCCCACAACAGAGCTGCCTACTCCGTCAGGAAGCCAGCGCTGGTTCTGTGGGTGAGGCAAAGGTGTCTGCGAGGCTCGCAGGTGGAAGGGCAGGGGAAGGTCTCCCTGGGGAGGGGTCGAGGCTGCAGAACACCTGGAGGGAGGTGCTACTGGAGGACAGCCAGCCCCTCACACCCATAAGTCAGGCTCCCCCGGAAACAGTCAACAGACTCCATGGATCAGAAGGGATTTATTATGGGAACTGGCCCACACGGTTATGGGGACAGAGATGTCACCAGCTGTAGTCTGCGAGCTGAGACCAGGAAGGCTGGTGATGTGACTCAGGTCAAGCCCCGAGGCCTTTGGGTAAAAGGCCACTGTCACAGCTGAAGCAGAGGGAGCGTTTGCTCCCCCTCTGTCCTTTGTCCTGTTTGGGCCTCCTCAGATGGACGGTGCCTGCCACAGTGGTGAGGCATCTCTTTACTCAGATGCCTCTCCCAAATGTTCTAAGAGGTGACTATAAAGCCACCAAATCCCGGAAGAACTCAGACTCTGCAAACAGCTGGCTGTCTTTGACCTTACTGAGCCCGCGGTGGCTTTTCTGTCCTCCTTGTGAACTCCTCTGCTGACACTGCAGATCTGAGGTTCACCCTGTGCCCTGGGCGCCGCCCCTGCTGCCTGCCATTACCAGGACCACGGCAGAAGGGCGTCCTGAGATGTCCTCAGCGAGCACCAGGGGGCGCCCTGAGACACCCTCCATGCACGCACTTGGCCATCTCCAAGTTGATGGACACACAGAGGTGAAAGCCCCATAAGGGAGTGCTGGGCAGGCTGACCCACCAGCAGCTTTGTGGCCAGACTTAGGTGGACAGGAAGATTTCCTTCAGGTCATTTCTATTTTATCTCATACTTTCCTGACTTCCCAATCCAAAGATCTACCTTATCTGTATTTCCTAGAGATAAAATCCCAACTGATTTGGAAAATGCTATTGTTTGGATCTGGAAGGTTCTATAAGGGCCCATGTGCTAAAGTCTTTTCCCCAGAGAGGCACTGTTGGGAAGAGGTAGAGCCTTTAAGAGGCGGGACCTAGAGAGAGGTCTTCAGGTCATTGGGGGCGTGCCTTTGAAGGGGACTTCCTTTTTTTTGCTTCCCACTGTGAGGTAAATGGTTTTGCTCTGCCTTGAGGTGCCACCGCAGGCCCAAAGCCTCAGGACCAGCCATTCATGGACTAAAGCCTCCAAAACCATAAGCCCAAAATAAACCTTTTTTCTTGATAAGTTGATTGTCTCAGGTTTTGTTACAGTAAGATAAAGCTGACTCTGAAATTATTCTTCTAGGCAAGATGAAGCCCCTGTTTCTCTGAGACTTCAGCTTGTCCATGTGTCCAGCTTGTCCATGTGTCCCTTCCCTGATTTACTTTTCTTCTTCTGATAAATCTTTTTTCTCAGCTCTTGAGCCCCTCACCTGCCTGACATCTTTTATTCCCTTAACAAGAAACACTGTTGGGATCAGTCGGCAGAGGGTGACCATAGCAGGAACTCTGGAGCCCAGCTGTTGGAGGTCACCAGCCCTGCTCCTTGCTCACTGTGTGTCCTGAGACACGTGACTGGACTCCTCTGTGCCTCAGTTTCATAGATGGCAGGGCCTACCTCACAGATGTGTGTGGGAAGAAGTGTGTAAAGTCTGAGAATGTGCCTGGCCTGAGCCAGAACCACGTCAGTGCTGGCTGCTACTGTCAACCACGCCCCTGAATAAACAGGAAGGTCCCAAGGACAAGCCAGATGTTGGCCTCAGGAGCTCATCCTTACCCAAAAGAGACTGACAAGAGAAGAAACAGCCTCATACAAGTCAGTGAAGGGACCTCAGGAGAAGACCATACTCTCGGGAATCCTGGCACACGCCAAGGAGGAGTGGCATAAGGAGCCGGCGGGGACTATTTTCTGTCCATTGCTGTGTCAGATTACTCCGAAGCTTGGAAGCCTCAACAACAATAAAGGTTTGTCTCACAGAGTTAGGACTGCGGGAGGGACTTTGCTGGGTGTTTCTAGACCCAGGTGTCTCTTTGGGTCACAGCAATCCCCTGAAGGCTGGCCGGGCCAGGAGAAGCCCCTCCAGCCTGGCTCTTCCTGGATGTTGGCAGGGGCTCCAGTTCTTCACAGGTGGACCTCTCCACGCGGGCAGCTGGAGTGTCCTCAAGAGATGGCAGCTGCTCCCCTCCCAGCAGATTGTCCGTGAGAAACATGGTCAAAGAGGCAGTGTCTGCTCTGAGGCACTCGTCACACTGTCCTTCAGTGACCTGAGTCACACACATCAGCCTGGAAGACAAGGACCATTGTGCCTTTGGAGGGCACCACAGCGGCAGGATGGAAAGCACGGTGCAGGGCCAGGCCTCCCCAGGATTGGAAAGGGAGGCTGGGAGCACAGGGGAGGCCCTGGGCCCAGAGGCCTATTGCCACCCACAGGACATGGGACTGACCCAGGGGGAATTTATACACTGTCTTAAGCAAACTAAGCTATTGCCAAACACGGGGAGCTGACCAAATAGGGGAGCAGGAAGAAGAGGGGCAACAGTCTCCTCTGGAGCCCGAGGTGTCTCCCTCCAGCTGCAGGAGCAGGCACCTCTGTGTGAGAGCAGCCTTCCTGTGCCATCAGCCGTGAGACCTCTTCACTGTGGCTCTCTGGGTCCCTGCCTTTGGGCTGTGGCCGAGATGGAATCCCTCACCCAGCATACCCCAGGGGCTCTCCTGCACTGCCTGGCTTCCTTGCACTAAGTCAAGGTCACTGTGATGAGCTCTGACCAGAGAAGCACATTGACAGTGACTCCAGACAGAGGAGCTCCCGAGGGACTCTGCAGCCTCCCTTCCCCACCAAAGAAGCTAAGGAAGCCATTTGTCCTGGAGCACACAGCCTACCTAAAAGGGAGCCCGACTGCCCTGGGCCCAGGCTGCGGGGAGCAGAGTGCCCCCTGTTGGACAGAACGTTGTAGCCAGGGATTGGTCTGCTAAGCTGTTGAGATAAAAAGACCGTGGCTGCAGCCAAACACCATAATGTGTCAGAAGGGATCTTTCATTACCCTAAGAATCTTCTGTGCAAAGTGATCTATTTAAAGCACAGGCCTGATTGTACCGTGTCCCCGCTGGACACTTAGTGCTCCTGAGCCTGGCCCCAGCCCTCCCTAGCACACTTGTGCCATGTCCTCCGCCCTCCCACCCCGTGCCCATCCCTGCCCACCCAGCTCTCTTCCTTCCTCAGAGCCATCTTGGGCACCATCAGCTCTGCCTGGAACTCCTACCCTCCCGCAGCACCCTCTGGGTCTCACATGCCAGGTTCCCGACTGTCATCCACCCCACCATCTGAGGACATCAAGAATCTCCTTGTTGCTGACTTTCAAAGCTCCCTCTGTCCACCTTTGCCATTGAGATTAAATGGTGGTCAATTCTGAATGGCTAAGGGGACGGTTGTTTCTCCACCAGGAGGCGATTCCCAAGAAGAGGCTTGCACTCTGGGTCCTGGCTCCCCGCCTGGCCTGCGAGTAAAGCTGGCCATTTGTGAGTGGAGGGTGCAGATGTCACAAGGCCATTCTCCCCACTGTGCACTGCAGGCGGTTTCCAGGCTCCCCTAGCCCCTGTACCAGGGCCGGGTAGCGCACCCAGCACCACAGGGAGTCTTGGAGCTTGGTTAGAGTCCAGGGGAGGAAAGGAGCCCCTGGCCCCAGGGACAGTCACATCCTACAGAGCCCTGTTTCCAAAAGGGAGCCCACCCTTCTCTGGCTGCCCAGCGGTACCAGCGGTCCCTGGCTGCGATGGAAACAAATGTGGACAGAGTCCTGGGAGATCCCTGGATTCTGGAGCACTCGGGCTCTGAATGAAGGCCCAGGACGCATTTCTCATGGGCATGCTTTATCCTTCCCATCAGGGGCCAGGTTTCCATCCCTGGTGATTCCCGGGAGAGGACCAAGAGGAGGAACGTGCCCGAATCGTAACTGCACAGGGGGCAGACATCTTTCTTCCTATAAAAAGTACCTGAATTATGCATCTTATCAGAGACCATGTGCTGGCTGATTTTAAAATATTACTCCCCAAATATGCATATAGTACGCCAAGAAACCATCGACGGTAAATCACCTCCACTCCAGAGCCAGGACGCAGTTCCTGAACTGTGCAAGTCCCTCGCATAAAATTCAAAATGTCTCACAGTTTATCTTGAAACTTTATAAAATTTATTGATCTTTATAGCCATGAAAGGCAAGAGGAAATATATTTTAAGTTCATGTTTTTTATTACTGACCCAAGTGACCATGTGAAATGGCTCAGATTTATCATCGCGTCCAGCTGCCAGCGTTTGCAGCGACTTCCAAACATGTCATTTTACCTCAGACTTCTCATGGTCGGGACGCTTGGGGAGTTTACAGGGTCGCTCTGACTTCAGGACCAGAACAAATAAGTGGCTTAAGTAGTTTTGCAGCTGATTGGAAAGTGACTTTGAAATTCATTTGAGGAGTTTGCTAACCGTGGGCCACAGAAACCTAGGGAAGGGGCAGGGGTCCCCAAATTTATGTCTTTCCACATGGGAGAAGAGAAGATTCCTTTGCCAAAGAGCAGTAAGTGTGTATGCTCCTCCACATCTTCCCAGCTCCGTCAGAGAGGTTTAAGAAAACAGTATTCAACTGTTTCTCATTTGCTAGAGAAATAGACATTACTAGTAAATGGAAATGGAAATTGTATTTTTTTTAAATGTTCTTTAATGTGGCTTACCAAAATAGTCGTCACTGTGCATGGAACATCGCCTCTGTTCATTTTAAAACCAGGAGGTGGCTTTTAAAATGCCGTCACTAGTGCCTACGGGCCTCAAACTCTTGTAAGAGTCCATGTGCAGTCCACGTCAAGCTTGGTCAAGAGTGCAGGGCGTTAGCCAGTTGTGGTGGTGCCCAGCTTTAATCCCAGGGACTCCAGAGGCAGAGGCAGGAGGCTCTCAAGTTCCAGGCCAGGCTTAGCATTTAGTGAGACCCTGCCTCAAAACAAAAACACAAAAAAGACTGGGGCTATAGCTCAGTGGTAAAGCGCCCCTGGGTTTGGTCCCCAGTACCAAGCAAACAGACGGAATGCTGGGGGCCTGGTAGGGTCCCTTTGCCCTTCCCCTCCTTCAGGCCTGTGTGTCCAGCCAGCTCCTGGGATCTGGGTTCCTCTTTTGTGCATCTCTATTCTCTCTCTCCTGTCTCTTGACCCTGTGGACACTACCACCCAGTCCACCTTCTAGAAGGTTCCGGGCATCACCTCCAGGCTGACACCTGATTGCTTCTCACTGCCTGTGTGGTGCCCCTTGGGGGACCTTGTCTCCATCTCTATGTCTCCCACCATCACCCCATCATCCCCAGCAGGGAGCCCAAGACACACAGCTGCCCTCAGACTTGGCTCGTAACATCCTCACAGCCAGAATGTCCCCAGCCTTGCTAAAGCATCCAACCTGCCAAGATCTAGAGGACCCTCAGCCTCCCTGGAGGAGGCAGCCCCTCCCCTGGATTCCCGCAGATCAGCACACGTTCGCAGGCCCCACTTCGCCTGCTCCAGGCTCCGTAGCCCAAGCTGGAGGCTCAGCCTCATGGTGCTTCACATGCTTCTTTAGCATCCCAAAACCTTACACGCTTCTTGTCATCCTGAAGAGCAAGCTGTCTGCTCGATAGAGAGAATGAGGGACACTCCAGGGAGGCCAGAAGAGAAGGGAAGGAAATCATAAAAGAAAAGATACTATTTAAAACAAATACACTTGGCCCTCCATCCCAGCTCTGCATCTGCAATTGCAAAGCATTAAAAAAATGCATCTGTACTGAATGTGTTCAGATGTTTTCCTCATCATTATTCCCAAAACAGCACAGTATAACTGCTATTTACATGTAATTTACATTTTACTAGGTTTCACAGGTGATCCGGAAATGTGTGTAGGTTTCATGCAAAGCTACACCATTTTATATAAGAACTGCGGAGAGTTCTGGAACCAATTCCTCGTAGACACCAAGGGCCTCAGCCTCCCAAGCAGCTAGGATTACAGGTGAGCACCACCACACCCCACTCAAGACCTCCTTTTCAATTGGTTTCCTCTGTAAAGACCTTGTCTCCAAATAATGTCTCATTCTAGGGTACTTGGGGCTAAAACTTCAACATAAGGACTTGGGGGCACACAGTTCAACCCTGACACTGTGTGTCGAGCACCAGCCCTGGGGATAAAGAAATCACTAAAATATGGTGCCAGGAATGAAGCCGTTCACCACCCAGGGGGACCATCACCACTCATCCACCTGTTATCCTAGTCACCACAGACATGAGACCAGTCCAGGTGCAGATGCCTGGGGCCTACAGGACCTGCTCGTGCCTCTGGGGTAGGCGACCTGAGAACCAGACTCCAGAAGCACAGGAGGAAGAAGTGGGTGACCAGGTCCCATTCCGGTGCAGGAGGCGGAAGCAGGCCGGCCACAGGTGAGAGAGCCGCTCCTGCCCCAGAAGGAAGAGGGAAGCCAGGGAAAGTGGACCTGCGCTGGGCTGTCCCCAAAAGGGGAAGCTGTGTGACAGGGTCGCGGGGTGGGACACTCCTAGACAGAAAGAGCAGCCAGGGAGACTTGGGGACAAGTGTCTCCCAGGCGTGTCTCCCTGAACCTTGACTTTGAACCTTGTGGCAGCTTCTTGTCCTCGAGCGGGGACTGAGGGAAGTGGAAGTGGGAACACAGCTGTTTCCACAATGGGGAGCTCAGGTTCCAGGTCAGAGTGTGAAAACTCCTCGATCGGCTAGCAGGTCACTTTAAAGGGTAAGAAAAGATAAGTAAAATAACGTAACTCCGTTTTTTAATGCTGGTTATTTCAAAGGAACCCCAAGAACGTTGAAAAGCAACTTTATTCCTACTAGTGTATTTGGGAACTTTCTGGCACATAATGGACCCAATTTTTGAAAAACGCTAACCTGAAATTTAATCAGCATTATATTGAAAGGAAAAAAACTCTTGTCATCTGCCTCTTCTCTCTTCTTTCCCCTTAAGCAGACAGGGGGTGGCTTGAGATGTTGCCTCTCTATCCCTGAAGATCACTTCCAGGTTGTGATGGCTCCTTCATCCCCTAGTCCTGTCCCAGCCGGGGTGACTCAGTCGCGGCACCGATGAACACACATCCTCACCTTCACCACCTTCACCTCCGAGTGCCAAGCTGAAGCCCCAGGTAAGGCCAGCTCCAGGGGCACGTGCAGCCTCGCAAAGCCAAGTCTCGGGCCCCAGCTGCAGAGAGGATGAGTGGGAAAGAGGGTGTGCAGAGGCTGCAGGGTCCCCAGCAAACCCAGGGCCCCAAAGCTGCCCCACCCACTTCACGCAGCCTCAGGAAGGGACACCTTCAGACCCCGAGGCCAAGCCCCGGTGGGTCAAAACCCTAGGGACCCTGGAGAAGCAGACAGACCAAATATTCAAATCCATGAGCCAGATGGTTTCTTCCCAGGATGGTGGGCACTCCTGAGAGCTTCCTGGGACTCCAAGTGGGGGGCTGCGGCCTGGACCCAGGAGTCCTGAGCACAACTCGGGAGCCACAAGAAAAAGAGAGGGTGGCGGCAACTGAAGCACCTGAGTGGCAGGGCCGGCCCAGTCCAGCATGGACACAGCCCCAGGAAAGGCAGGGACCCCAGTGACCGCAGGAACTGAGGAATTAGGTGATATCAAGGGAAAGCCGAGGTGCAGGTGTCGCCTGCCTGGCGTCCAGGTCCAAGTGCTTGCCTGCCCTGTGGAACTGTGGGTTCTCCTTAGCGCCCAGGTAGAGGGGTGCCTGGGGTGCCCAGAGACAGGTAACCCAGCCTGGCCTCCCCAAAAGAGACAAAGAAACCAGGGCACAGGGTCTGGGACTGGCCACCATCTTCCCGCCTGCTGGGGACTCTGGGTCCTCCTATGCACTGCTACTTCCCGCTCCATCTCAAAAGCTGTGCAGTTTGCAAGACAGTGAGCTGCATGGGGTCCAGGGCTCAGCTCTCGGCACAGATGGGTGTTGACCAGATGGTGACGAAGTCTCCAGGGCAATGCCGGACTTTTAAAACTAAGTGACAGGAACTCACGGAGGACAGGGTGTGACTCCCACCTAGGCCCCGTGCCTTGGGACTTACCCTCCCTCCTGGGAGCTCCAGCCTGGCTTCTTGGCAATAGGCGTATGGGCAACCAGTGTGGAAAAGAGCCCCGCTGGAACTAACTCCAGGCCAGCAGGAGGGGACGCCGGCCTCACAGCCCACTGCTCCCCCAAGCCTCATCCTCCCCCAGCCTCCTCTGGGTGACCCTGAGGAAAAGGCCAAAGAAAGTGCCCCGGCCTCGGCCCTGGCATTCCTGACCTCTGACCCACCCCAGGGCCCCTGGTTCAGACCTCCCACAGATGGAGGAGGCAAACCCCATTCCTTTTAAAACTCTGCAATTTGGATTTTTGGTTATTTGCAGCCTAAGCAAACCCTAGCTGCTTGGTGGGAAATCTCATTCCTACAGAAGAAAGCCTCGTCTCTAACCAGAGCGTGGCCATGCAAGGGGGTGAGACATCGGTGTTTCCTGGTTTCAGAAACTGTCTCCATTATCGCATCTCTAGGGAATGTCGATGACCAGATGGGGCTGGGTCATGAGGGACCCCAAACACACTCAGACCACCCAGGAAGGTCTGGGCTGTGGGTGGGACAGTTGACCAGCACATCACATGAGAAGGTCACACAGAAGGCATCTGGGGCACTGCGTGAGTCCTGCAGGGTCCCAAGACTGACGTTCAACACACATCTGAGGGTCGAAGGCAAACCCCATGTGGCACAGGTAGGGCACACCAGCCCGTGAGTGGCCCTTTGGGCTGTGGGTTCTTCTCAGTGGCCTGTGACCTCCAGTTCTGGGCTTTTCCACTTTACTGGGAAACACATCTCCAGGGGACCTCAGCATGGACTCCTCACTCCTGGTCAGTAAGGGCACCCCCAACAGAACCAGGGCTGCAAGTGACACGGTGATAAGACATGGAAAAGTAAGAGGAGCCCCACGCATGAACCCAGGGAGAAGTAGAAGCCAGGCAGAGGCCATGCACTGGGACGGGCTGGTCCTCATCTGGACAAGAGCCAGAGGGCTGTGAGCAGGGCAGGTCCGTGGCAGGAGGGGATGTCCAACAAGAGGAGCAGGCTTTCCAAAGATGCCAGCTCTCTGCTTCCCGCTTGGCCGCAGCCAGATTCTCAGCCAAATAACTTGGGTCACAAATATTCAACACAGGAGGCTATCTAAGCATTAAAAAGCCAACCGAAAACCATCAAGAACTATGTGAGTTGTCCCTTGGCATTGACAGGATTGGTTCCAAAACCCCCCCACAGATACCAAAACTCAGGAATGCTGGCTCTGATCCTACACATAAAATGGCGTGGTATTCACACAAAACCAACGCACACCCTCCCTGCGTTCAGTGTCTAACTAGCAAGCAGTGACCACCTGTCCGGGCCACGCCACACGCAACACTCACCCCTCACACACGCGGGGCAGAAAGAGACCTACCTCTCCGGCACCATGCGCTGGGCTGCAGAGCTGGAGTAGGGACCAGGCACGGCCAGCGGGTTCAAGCCCCAACTTGGTCCTGCTCCGGCAGCACCTCAGCAGCGCTTCATCTGGGCCCCTGGACAGCAGGGGTGAGTCTGCGCCTGCAGGGGTCCCCCGGGAATTGCGCTGAGCCTGACATCTGGGAGCCAGCCTTTGCCCAAGGTCACCCCCAGTGTAACATAGAGCCAGGGTTTGAAATTAGGTCCTGCCAATTCCAAAATCATACCCTCTGCTCCCTCCACACACCAGCTGCCTCTTCCTAATCTGTCCTAATGGCGCCCCACGAGGCTGCCACGGCATGGACCACAGACAGGCGGCCAAGAAGCTGAATGTGGTCTTTGCCCTTGGGACACAAGAGGTCCATCCAAGAGGCCATGGAAATCAGGGGCTTTCACGGGGAGGCCCAAGGCCTGGAATTGGGGTTCTGAGGGAGATCCAAAGAAAACAGGCATGGGTTGGGAGGAGACGCCGATCCCCAGCATGGCTGGCTGTCGAGGGACACAGACGCAGCTCGCAGGCCAGGCGAGGGGGTGTTTTCCTTGGCAGCCATCAGTCTGCTCTCACAATGGAGGATGCGGAGATGACTCCAGCCTGTGGCAGAGAGGAAAGGCCCTGTGCGACTCCGGGAGAAGTGAGCGCAGGAGAGGATGCAGCCTGCCAGCTCAGGAGCTAGAGTCGCTGCTGGCTGAGGCCCTCTGCACTAGGCAGGTCCCCCACTTGCCCTTTGGCCCCAAAGACAGGTCTGCATGGACCACCTCACCTGGGCTTCCATCACTCTCCTCCAGGTTTCTCTCCACATTCCCCCAGAGAAGAAGCTGAGGAATCCTGCAGGTGCTCTGCGCAGAGCCAGATACCCAGAGGTCTGTACAGGGACACGGATCCCCGCCTCCACAGATCCACCCAAGGTACAGCCACCTCCAGCCCCCGGGCGGGAGACAGGGGAAGAACGGCTTGGAGGCACCTTTGGTCACGCACCTACGGGTGCCCCCAGCCTGGGAGGCAGGTGTGGTGCTTCCCCTCTGCACAGACAGGCGGAGAGTGGGAGTCCAGAGGTGGGGGGACAGGACCTGAAGTAGAGATTCCAGGACTGGAACTCAAGCCCCTGCTCTGGCATCAGTGAGCTTCAAAAATAAAACCCCCAAAGAGGCTATTTCTGAAAACCAGTGACTAGCCAAAGGGCCACAATGAAAAGAACCCACTTACCTCCACATCTGGTCACCAGATGTCCGAGAGAAAGACAGCAGGGCTTGGCTCAGGCGGAATTAACCCGGGCGTGCAGCTCACGAGAGCGGATGGGGAAACAGGCTGGCAGTCTGTGAGCTGGTTCTTCAGTCACTGGAGGCTGGAAATCAGCCATGGCAGGCATTGGTCAATGTTGGAAAAGGAGGCTTTGTTTTGGTGGCTGCTGAGAGCCATTTGGCCAGCACCCCAGGGGATGGATCTTGGAGTGAGTCATCCAGAAGGCACGGCCTGGCTCTCCCTGGGGGAGAGGAGAGAGAAGGCATATTTAAGAAAATAGCCAGGAAGCCCTTGGGTTCAGCCTGGTAGGCGCCTGCCTCTGTCCTCTCCCCTGGAGGCCTGAACGCCTTTCCGCTCTGAAGTCCCTGAGTGAGTCTGCAGTGGGAGAGAATGGCCCAGGGTCCACCTGGACGTGCGTGGGGTGCATGGGGGCACGTGGCCCCTCCTGGGTTCCTGGGGAAGGCCCATGTACCCCGCTGAGCCCCAGCAGGTCTCCAGGTCACTGCTGAAGGGAGGACTGCAGTCTTGGAGAGGCTGAAGATTCCAAGCAGGGCTTACAGAAGCACCCTGCGCTGGAAAAGACACGCAGTGAAAATAATAATAAAAACTGCCATTTCCACGTCCCTCAGGGCTGGCCAGGAGAGACCAGCGTCTGATGCCAACACAATTGTCACTGGTCTATTAGTAAATATGAATCATAGATTCTTGGGACTAAAAGGGACCCAGGAGACCGTCTCCACCAATCACCAACTGAATGCTCAGGTCCTCAAACAACCTGACTAGCCCAGTGGGTGTCCAGCCAACATGCCCTACCCTTCCACAAGAGGAAGCCCATCCTTCAGGAGGCCACCACGGTGCCTGGTCACAGCTCTGTGGCTACTGTACCACAGTTAGGAATATCAGACTGACTGTAACTCTGCACTGAGCCTGGATTCTTGGGTGGGACACTCCCCCGGTGGGCAGACACCTTCCACCCTCGCAGCTCCTATGCTCAGGCTTGGCAGTGCCTCTGGAGGTTCACCACCTTCTGTGGATCACAGGTTTCCCCTCCGGCTCATCTTCCTAGCCTCGCTGCTATGGTTTGGATGTGAAGTGTCCCCCAAAAGCTCATGTGTGAGACACTGCAAGAGGTTCAGAGGAAAAATGATTGGGCCATGAGAATCTTGATCCAATCAGTGAATTGTTCCCTGACAGGATTAACTGGGTGGGATGTGGCTGGGGAGGTGGCATTGGGGACGTGCCTTGGGGGTGTACATTTGTATCTGGCCAGTGGAGTCTCTCTGCTTCCTGATCATCATGTGAGTGGCTTCCCTCGGCCACACTCTCCTGCCTTACTGTTCTGCCTCCCCTGGAGCCCGGGGAAAGGAGCCAATGGGCTGAGACCCCTGAAACTGTGACCCCTCAAGTAAATAAACTTCTCTACCGTTGTTCTGGTTGGGTCTTTTAGGCATAGCAGCAGGAAAACTGACAAACACCTGCCTTCGCATGTTTATTAACTATTTCAAAGGTACAAAACAAAGCCCAAAGAACAATGGCCCTCAAAGTTGGCAAAATCCGCAGACCTTCCAGCCACGTCTGTTGCCGCAGCCCACAGGCGCTCCCTCCTCCTTGGGTCAGGGACCCTCCTCCACAGCTCCTGCACCTGCTGGTCCCCCGCCCCATCAAGGCTCCCACACTGCAGCCCCGGTGCTCCTCACCTCTCCACAACACCTTGCCAGCGCCCGTCTGTCCCCTTCATCCTGCACTGCCAGCAGACATCTCCCTCTGGCACCTCTGGGTCTTTCTTTCCTCCTTTCCCACTGCCCTGCAACCAGCCCTTGCATCCTCTCCCTCTGGATAGACACTGAATCCTTAGGTGGGGGCACTTCTTTACCATCTTCAGCACCTCCATGACCCCACACCTATCACAGTAACCTTTTTTACAGGATGACTTGCCTCTCCAGTAACTCAAGGCTGCCAGGTTGGGTGTGCATGAATCGGCTGGCTGTGCTCCTTTAAGAACTGTCAAGGGTAGGTTTCCTGATATAAATCAGTTGGTGTAGAAATAGTAGCTCTGTTCAGCAACATGTTCAGATGCTAATCTCACTGAAGCCCGGGGCAGTAGCACGTCCCCCAGTGTGGATCTCTAAGAAGAAAGTGGGGGCGGGGCAGATATATTCCAGTGACCAGCCAGGAGCAAGTCGGTTGCAAGCTCAGTGCGCTCGGATGCCGTGTTCAGAACACCGCCCCTTCAGGGATGCTTTTATTGTCTTTGGATCCTGATCATGTTTGCAAAATTAATAATACAATAGATTGGGATGTGTTGCGAGTTTGTTAAGAGGAGCAAGTCTCTCATGGAAATGTGATATCAGAAGTTGCACAGAGGGAAAGAGGAAGGAGAGGCACGCCCCCCCATTCCTTCTACTAAAAACAAAAACCCCTGGACATTATGGATAAAATAAATTCAGATATAAGAAGATTCTGAGGTGCTGATAAGGATGCAGACAAGTCACAAAATGATGAGGAGTTGACTTTTTGCTCCGTATGTCCCAGGTTTGGAGCTCAACAAGCTTACAGGCTGGAAACACCAATGGGCACCAACAAAATCAGCCTCAACAAAAGTCCACCCTCCACAGTCAAAGGGCCAGGAAAAGACAGTCTAGCAAGACAGAACCTTCAGACAATAACCACCCCACTCCAGCCCAACGCCACAGACGACACTGTGGCCTAGTCACCACCCACGCCAGCCTGGATTTCCCCTCCCAGGCTGCAAGAGGGCTCAGCCCCCCTCAGGTGCAGTCAGAGAAGGTGGTGTGGGAGCTGGGACTTCATCCCCACAAGTGGTTTGATGCTCCCCATCCCCTGAATGGCGCCATTGCAGACCTGGGGAGCCTGGACCTCCACCCCAATTCACAGTAACACGGCCTCCCCATCTCTGCTCAGGGAGCCTCATAGAAGAGTGGAGTTAAGACTCTCACCACAACCCTGCAGCAAGGAGGCCACTCCCAACCAGCGGTGTCAGTTGAGGCCACACGGGGAGGATAATGAGTCACTATTCACTCTCTCAGCCAGGGAGACAGCAGATGCCAACACTAATATGACAGAGACTGGAATTGTCTGACAAAGATTCTAAAACGGCCACCATAAAAATACTTTAACAAACAATTGCAAACACAGTAGAAACCAATAAAAAACTCCCAACAAAGAGATGCATCTCAGAATAACAGCCCTCGCTGGGGGTGTGTGACGTACAGGGTTCGAATCCCAGCATCAGAATGAAAAAAAAAAAAAGAGTCTCAGCAAAGAAAGATGATTTTGAAAGAGGATTGGGCCACAATTCTGAAAGACACAATCCAGAATGCCATCGTCCTAGATGCTGAAATCCCAAAACACCAAAATCATACTTTAAAAGAAAAAAAGAAATTTTGGGGAAAAAAAATTATCCTTTAAAAGACATTTGTTTACATTTTTAAAGGAAATTCAAAAAACATAAAAGCACAACAGAACACATATGGTACTTTACATAATAAAATAAATAACATGTTTTTGTAAGACTAAGCACTCAGGTATACTAATGCCAGTTACAGGTGTAACAGTTGAGAGCAACGGATCATATTCATAAGGAAACAGGCCAAACAGCAGAGGGTAGAAACATATGTCACTCCTGTTGGCAACTGTGGGCACCAGCTTGACGACTGGGGTTATCTGGAAGCTGGAGACCCTGGGACACCTCAGGTCAAGTCCCAAAGCCTGAACCACGGATGTTATGGTGCAACTCTCAGAGGCCAAAAGCCTGAGTACTCAGGGACCATAGGTGTAAGTCCTAGAGTCCAAAGACCAGTGACCTGGAGTTCTGATGTCTATGCAGTAGAAGAAAATGGGCCCAGCTCTCAGAGAGACCAACTCCCCTTCTGTGTTCTTCCCTCTGGGGTCCTGAGCCATTGGGTGGTTCCTGCCCACCTGGAGGGTACATCTTCCCCACCTAGTCCCCTCAAACTCACATGCTTATTTACTCTAGAAACAGCCAAGGTAATACTTCAAAGAGTTTCTAGAGATTCGTTCTGCTTAGCACGATGCAATTATCCTGAGTACAGCTGAAAACACTCGACTTCCTAATCCTCTAGCACAACTAGAAAATAAACAAGAAGGTAGAAGAACTGAACACCATCAACCAACAGCATCTGCTCAGCGTTCATAGTACTCTCCACTCAACTGCCCACACACCTGCCCCAGGACAGACCACATCCCGAGCCATGAAACAACTGCACCAAACCCAAAAGGATCGAAGTCACAGAGAGCAGCCTCCAGCTCAAATGGAATCAAACTAGAAACCCATGATGAAAATCTCAAAATGCTTGGAAACTAAAGAACACACTTCTAATAAGTCAAAGAGGAAGTCACAAGGGATTTTTGAAAAATACATCCAACTGAATGAAAATGGAAATACAACATATCAACAGCTGGGAGATGAAGTCAAAGCAGTTTACTGAGGGAAAATGGTAGCAATAAATGCATCGATAGAAGAAAGAAAAATCTCAAATCAATCTAAGCTTCTATCTCAAGAGCCTGGGAGAAAAAGAGCAAAATATACACAAAACAAATAAATGAAATTAAAACAAAAAAGCGAAAGAGAAAATTAATGAAACAAAGGGAAGATTCTCTAAAATATCAGTAAAACTGACAAACTTCTAGAAATTCTGATAAGGAAAAAAATATATAAGACACAAATCTCTAGGATCCAGAAGAAAATAAGGGTCATCACTACAAATTGCATTGACATTAAAAGGCCCAAAGATTAAAACCAACAACCCCTATAGACATTTAGCAACTCAGATAACACAGAGCAACTGCTTAGGAAACTGAATGCATAATTTAAAAGCTCCTTTCTCCCCTGAAAGAAAGAAATCTCCAAGCCCAGATGGTTCACTGGAGAGAAAACTTATTAAAGGAAGTTTTCATAGGAATTTTACATAAAGTTCATCCAGAAAATAGAAAGGAACACTTCTACTTATGAAGCTAGCATTACCCCAACACCAAACCCAGACAAATGCAGTATTAAAAGCACTACAAACCAATATTAATCACAAATATAAATGCAAAAGTCCTTAACAAAACTTTGCAAATAGAATTCATCAATATGTAAAAGGAATCAAACACCATGACTCTGTAGGATTCACTCCAAGAATTCAGGCTTGTTAAATATTTTTTAATTTATCAACATAGGTCTACCTTGTCCACAGTGAAAAATGAAACAACCCTATCAACACAGTCAGGAAAAGCATTTGATAAAGTTGAAACACTTGATCACGACAAAAACACAATTAGAAATAAATGTGGGGCTGGGGATGTGGCTCAAGCGGTAGCATGCTCGCCTGGCATGTGTGAGGCCCGGGTTCGATCCTCAGCACCACATACAAACAAAGATGTTGTGTCCACCGAAAACTAAAAAATAAATATTAAAATTCCCTCTCTCTCTCTCAAAAAAAAAATGAAAGAAAGAAAAGAAATAAATGTGGCCTTCCTTAAAATATTTTAGGGATACAGATCCTCCCCAAAAGGAGCCGCATCCACAGCTGTCTTTATACCCAACGGTGGCGAGCTGGCTTCCAGAGGCCGGCACCCAGGACACAACAGGAGTGTCCGCCCCAGCTGCACTGGGCACAGTACCGGGAGTTCCCACTGG